CCTCCGCCTCCGCCTCCGCCAGGAATTCAAGGACCATCGCAAGGACCTTGCCCTTTACCCGCACCTCCGGTTGGAGGTTGGAACCCAGCCAGCAGAGCGTGTGAGTAACAGGACAGGACTTGTCTACGAGACACGCCGCCGATTTCGCGATTATCAGAACGATCTTCCTCGTTTAGGCATGAGAAAAGAGCCGCTCTGTCCCGAGGTTCCTATGAAACCGCTCTACTGGACCAGGATTTTGGTACCTGTAGTACCAACGGAGCGTGGTTCCGTCGACGCTTCAGAATCGGCCGTTCAGGTACTTGGTTATAACACGAGCAGAAGAGGAAGAAGGGTTGTTAAGTCTAGGTTATTAATTGTATTCGCTCGATAGATTCCTCTGTGGGCGGAACTAGAGGAAGAGAAAAATCTGGATATGAAAGAGTTCGCCGGCCTGTTCTCTCGTCAGGTGACCGCCAGAAAACCGGTCAAAAAAGCGGACGAGGCTTCGAAACCATCTAAAATACAACCAGCAAAGATTCTCGACTCGAAACGATCCAAGACCGTGGGCATTTTGGAGAAGAGCTTGCACGTAGACTTCTGCGAGGTTGAGAACGCGGTTTACAACTTGGATACTAGTGTGGTTAACCTTGAGGCGTTGCAGCAGATATACGAAATCGTAGGTATTCGAAAATTATAAAATGTATAGTTTAAGATTTTTTTTTATATAATATAAACGTTGTGTGATTTAATCGCTCTTAGAGGCCAACGCAGAAGGAATTGGACGAGATAAAAGCTTTCGAGGAGAGTAATACGGACATTCCTCTGGATCGACCAGAGGTTTTTCTCAAAAAATTGTCCAGTATAAATCACTTCTCCGAGAGAATTGCGTGTCTAATGTTTCAAGCGGAATTTCAAGACGCGATCTCGTTCGTTGCATCGAAGTTAACAAATTTACGAAGCACGTGTGATTTTTTACGGAATTCTACTTCTCTGAAAAAAGTGATGGCGTTAATTCTCACGCTCGGCAATTACATGAATGGCGGAAACAGGACGCGAGGGCAAGCCGACGGTTTTGGTCTGGAAATTCTAGGGAAGTTGAGGGACGTGAAGTCAAATGTACCTGGTATTACGTTACTCCACTATGTTGTTAGAGCGAGACTAGCTCAAGAGAAGGATCACAACTTCGAAGAACCTTTGCCGTTACCGGTTCCGGAACCGGCAGACATGGAGGCGGCATCGAACATTAATTTTGAGAATGTCTCGGCCGAGTTAGAAAGATTAAAGAAGGAACTTCAAGGTGAAAATCTATAAGCGTTCATCTTTTTTTTTAAATTCTACGCTGAAATTGTAATTTTTCTATCTTTGTACTCTTTTTTTCTTTTTTGTATTGCAGTATGTACCGAAAAATGTGAAATCGTCGTTGAAGCGGATCCCGAATCGTCAGGACCGTTCAAAGAAAAGATGGATGCGTTTTTCCGCGTGGCAAGAGCAGAATTGGCAAACGAGCAGGAAGCTTTGCTCGACGCGAAGAGCAAATTCAAGGCTGTGATGCAATTCTACCAGTACACTCCTAAAGGCGCGAAGAACCTAGACGCGGCCGATCCGAGCGCGTTCTTCGTCCTCTGGCTCGGTTTCTGTCAGGACTTCAAGGTACATCATCCGTCATATTTTATTCCCTCGAATTTCTTTATACTTGTATAACGGATTTTGTAGGATATCTGGAAAAAGGAGCAACAACGAATAAGAAAGGAACGAATGGAAGAGATGAGAAAGAAATACGGAAGTAAAACAAAGGTGGAAAAATTGAAACTAAGCGCCACGGGATTGAAAGCACGGATTCAAAAGCTCTCACGAAAATAAATAAATAAATTCGATATCACGAATACATCGATAGATGCGTTATAACGAGTCGAACGAATACGACTATTCTCGTCTTCGAGCGAGGATAGTGTCTGGTTGTCACGAATAAAGATAGTTTATGGGATCGATCGATCGATCGTCCGTTCCGTTCGGTCCGTCCCACTCTTTACGGCATTAATTTCGTCGAAACTAAAACGAAATAATAATTATTGTTGTAGATATATTTGTTGGCATGAATTTGTTATATTGTATATAGACTGGTTAAGTTTGCGTCTAATTTATAAATACGATTGTTCCGCGAATGAAGAAATCGAAGTAATTCTAATAAACGATACTTTTTACATGAGTCTTCGATTTTTTTCTTCTGTTTAACTCGATTCTCGACGAAAGGATATGGGGGAAATTTTTCATGTTGATTTTCTCAGTTTTATCAGTTTTTTTTTTTGGTGTCAAATGCGTGTGCGTTTGCGTATATTTTTTCCACTGTAATTAGTAGCGACGATACAGAACCTTCAAGTAAAGCGAAAACAGAGATTAACATTTAAGAATAGTTAATAGATTAATCGCATCATCGTACGAATCGTGCTATCTCACGCGTTAATTATCGCATTCTAAAACGTAAAAAAATGGGGAAGAAAAAGAGGGGAAAAACGCTCGGAAATGCCTTTCGCAAAATAGATACATCGTTTGTAAAGCCCGATAGGTATAAAACGGGCATTTGCCGTTTATCTTTTCTTTTTTCCTCTTTCATCTTGGACGAAGCGGCTACGATTTCGATATTAAACGCGTTCTCTGTTCGCCTGGCCGACATTTCTAAGGGCCCGTCCGGTTCATCCGTGCGTCGGTTCACTTCGGTAGGCAGGTACGATTCGCGCAGAAGCGGTTTACGGCGATAGACCTAAGGCAATCGTTGCGTGTAGCGTAATTTGTGTCTTTTATTTTTTAGGAAATTGTCTTATTCGCGGAGTGGTTCCCGGTGCGACACCGACCCGGAGAATCGAGCAATATGTACATATACAGCGCGCCTACTATTTTCCTGTTGATATCCTTTCGGTTTCGTGTTGCTCTTTCCGTAGGGCCCTTTCTCCATCAGTAAACGAGAGACAGAGAGAAAACGATTGTAAAAGAAATAAAAACACGACGATCGAAAGAAAACGAAACAACGAAAAAGATCGACCGAATCGATCAAGTCAGCGACGCGGGACCTGGCGTACATCGCATCGTCGAATTCTGTGATTCTTGAATACGCATACATTGCGGCAACGGTTTTTACTTTTCGAAACATGAAACGTTAATCATCAGTGTTACTCGACCGGTAAAAACCTAGTCCTATGGATAACGTAAAATTACATTTACATTAATAATGATCGTTATCGCTATTCGCAGTAAAGAAAATTTATTACGAAAGAGTTAATTGGTACGCTCGGTCGCGGAACTTATGTCTAACTCGTACGTATCGTCCTCCTTACGTACAACCGACGTCCACTTCCGCAATAATTTTGTTTCTTTTTGGATCGCTTTGTAACCGCGTCCATTCTATCATCTCCTCGTGTTTCTATGCATTTCGTTTCTCTTTCTTCTTTTTTACAAAATATTTCAATAATATTAAGCTCTTTCACTCGATTCGGACGTCCCCAAGAAGAATATTGGCGTTAATTATCCGAAGCAGCGAAAGCTAGCAACGACACGAGCAACTCTCTCGGGTAACGGCCTTGCGCATTCGAATCTATTCTTATTATATATTAGAATATCCTAAGCGTCGACGTGTTCTCGTTTCGATCGCCGACGATCGCAGCTTTTCAGAAATGTTTGGCCTTTCAGTGACTACGATGATATCTGCTGACTACAATCGGAATGGCGCCCGTTGGTCGATCGGCGTTGGTTTGCCTTTTCGTTTAGTGGCCGGTGTGGTCGATACGGACGTATCCGATGCTCCAGAAGGTTTTCTGGATAGCTTCAAAGAAGGCGGCAGTGGCGTGCTCGATCCACTGGACGGTGTCCTTGTTCTATAGAAAAATCAGTAGTTTGTGTTATACTAGATTCTCACAGTTTACGGATTGAACACGATCGATTCGTTGATCGAAATCGATCGATCACGCGAACAAAAAATACGCAGATTGGTCGATCGGCTGCGTATTAAATATAAATGCGTGTAAATATTGCCGCTATGTCCGTCTGGGTTCTTTAAGGACGGTCCGCGTGATCATAATGATATAAGCGACAAACTAGATTACGTGTAAACCGAATCAGACCGAAACGATGATTACCTAGCTCGCTTAACGGCCGACGAGGTGTTAGTTGCTGAATTTGTACACATCGAGCTGCTCCTATAGTGTTAGAAAACAAACACGATACCATATTATTAAGTAGATCTTAAGCGGTGCTGCAGGATGAAATACGGCCGTTAATAGGGCGAAGCTGCAAATCAAACGTTGTGATAATTGTGCGAACACCGAAGGCAAACGTATAAAACATACACGTTTGCGATCGGTGTTAAGTAATTTTCACCTGAGCAGCGCGATCGTTCATCGTCAAATACAGATCCTTTCGTTGAACGATTGCGTTCGTCGAGAAGCATTTACTTACTTTGCTATCGTAAACTCGCTTCCTATGGAAACGATACTACAATATGTGAAAGCATTAAAAAAAGTACCAAATCAAAAAAGATATTCCAATGCGCATGCAAATGACATCCAGTGCAGAAAGAAAAAAAAAAATCAGAAAAGACGTGACAGTGTTAATAAGAGCAGGAAAGAGTTCAGCCATACCCGGTAGAATCGGTAGAAACCGTCGAGTAGTTGCTTTGCGTAGAATGAGTGGAAATATTGCTGGTCGTCGATTGTGGGGATTTTATATCCGTGCCCACATATACGGGGATCCTCGAACGGCTAAACCATCACCATTCAATTAATCAGTTAATCAACTATCGTACGCGGTATACCTATCGCGCTCCCCTTTTAGCTTTTTCGACTGATTTAATCGTTTCCTTCTTCCCTTTGACAAGCCGCGAAAAAAAGCACGAGTAATTAAACCGAGATAACAGATAATCCAACAGAAAATAAAAATGAATGGAAAGAAAACACCTCCATCACCACTGCGAGCATTGCCTACGCGATAGAGATATGAACTTAGAAGAGTGGTTACATGATACGGGCACCGTGATTTAGACAGTCCACCTTAATAGCGCTATGTATGTAGTATATAACATGTGACAAATGAAGCTAAAGCCAATCGCCAATTTTGACCTCGATTCCATAATTGTTAATTTAGTTTACCTGATCGGTGTGCCGACACCAGTCAGGGTTGGAATGCTCGAAGCTCTATGGATCGTGCCAAACCTAAAAAAATGTTATTAACTAAATTTAAGTTAATCGTCGTTAACTGACACGTGAGTACCGAATGGTTAATAGGCATGGCTCTAAAACCGTGGTCTCTGCTTTCTCTAATTCTAAATTATTCGCAGATTTCGTTCGTCGGAAAACGAATAATAAAAAAAGAAAAGGAGAAACAGATGAAAAAAGGGAAACGAAACAAAAAAGGAAAAACAAAACGGTAAAAAATGAACAAAATGCCGGGAGAACGAACACCGTATCTTGCACACGACACGTCGATCAATATCATTCCAAGATTATAGGAATACGAGATGCGAAATAGGTCACGATACATACGACCGTCGTTAATGTCTCTACCACGAGAATTGACGATGCGACAAAATCATCTAGATTCGACAAGATGCGAGGTTAGTTGATCGCAGATAAATTTCTGTATCTTTTTTTCAGATGAACACACGGGAAAACGGAAGATGTCGGTACAAACCTAGCTGGAACACCACTGGCAGGACTAACCAGGCCGGTGGGCGTTCGAGGTCGTGAACTCGAACCGTTCACCGATAAGCGCTTTCCTGACACGCTATTGTGTCTGCTAGAAGTAGGAGTATTCCCTGTCGTGCTGACTGCCGTTCTGCGTGGAATGCGGCTCACATTTGTCGAATCATCTGAAATTAATAGAAACACAAAGAAAGTACATATCCCAAATATTAAAACGAATAAAAAGCTTGTTGATCTTTCATAAGTACCTACCAGTACTATCTAACGATTGTGTGGAACCATAGCGACTCGGTGGTTTGCTTCCTTGCCTGGATGCGGGCCTACTTCCGGGTCTACTGGTTGGTCTGGACGTTGGTCTCGAAGCTGGCCTACTGGATGGTCGACTACCGCCTGCAGTTATCGAACGATGAATATAAAATTACCCCAAAAAATTGACTAAAAAATGATTTAAAATCTAGGATAAAAACATTTAATAGAATTGTTTACCCGGTGTCATAGAGCTTCTGTAGGGTGTACTTGTTTTCCTGGCGGAGCCAAGCTTGAAGGAGCTCTCGTTGTCGCTTAGGCTGTCCGGCGTTCCGGCGCTCAACGAAGAGCGCGATGCTCGCGACTGTCCCATGGGAACGCTGCGAGCGCTGCGTTCCCTCACCTACGCGATAGAAAGCTCATCTTGATTAAGCGAACACGGACGGAAAACCAAACGGAAAAATGCGTTCTACCAGAGGAGGCGAGTACACGGTAGAAATAGAGAGGCAAACAAACAGATAGACAAATAGCGAGAATTGTTTGAACCGGTCGACGCGCGAGTGGGACGCGCCGATACTGTTAGTTGAAGCGATACACGTCGAATCGCAAGGCGGAAGGAAGCGAATTCAAACGATAAAAAATAAATATTTTAATTGGAAAAATTACTTTTTCTTTTTCTTCCTTTTTTTCTTTTTTTTTTTTGTACTTAGAGAATTACAAATTTCCTTCCGCCACATGACGTTTGCATCAGCGATATCTCGAAGAAATCTGATTCTTTCTTTCCGCGGTGCTCCTCGGTCGTTCGTATATAACCATTCAACGCCACCGATGCGAACTAGAAACCGATCGATCGATTGAAGGAAGAAGTATAGAAAAAAACAAAACAAAAAGACCAGTGAAAAAGATAGAGACCACCGTGGTAGCTCGAGAGAGATAGACAGCGACTTTTTACGTCTAAGGAAAAAAAAAAGATCCATGCAAACTTACCAGAGGAAGTTGGGACAGATAGAGTAGCTTATGATGGTTCGAAGTATCTCCGATCAACGCCACTATGCACGCACCAATACAGCAATACAGGAGATCGTTATGCACATATTCGATACAGTAGTTCACCGTATCCGCGAATCGCGTCTCGCGAAAAACGTTACACGTCCTACAACGTTCGGCACCCTCGATATTCGATCCAGAAGAAAATAGTAACAAATTCTAAGCGGGCGAATATAAAAGAGATCGAGGATACCGATCGTTTTGAAGACGAGCTGGAAGAATTCT